CTGTTCATATCCTGTGCCCATTTTTCTATTGGATTATTTACCTTTATCTTGTTGTGGTGCTCAAGTATTTCATAAATTCTGGATATAAGTCCCTTATCTAATATGTTATTACCGAATACTTTTTCCCAGTCAGTGGCTTCCCTTTTTACCCTGTTGGAGAAGTTTTTGGATGTGCATAGGGATTTGAGTCTTAGAAGATCCCATTCATCTACGTTATCTTCTCCTGGTTGTAAATTTTGCTATTCTGACTGGTGTGAGATGTTATCTCAAAATTGTGTTGACAGTTCATTTATTTTTGCCTTTTTCTTGATATTTTCAACCAATTTTTATTTTAGGATCAAACAAAGTAACAGAAATATTATATGTAAAAATGACAGGGAAATAACATGTATACTGAAATAAATGTCCAATACTTTCTTACTTTTTTTGTATTCCTAAATTTTTCTGGCTATTTGTTCAGTGGTAGAATTTATACCTTTCATTCAGAAGATCCAGGTTAAATTCCTGGCCATTGTGTGGCCGTGATGCTGACCACATTTCCTGGGAGCTTCCAGATTAAAATGCAATAGGAGGAAAGGCCTGGTAACTTTTGGAAATAAGTTTAGCTGGTAAAATCCCTGTGGATATATAACCTGACCTTGGGAGATAACCTGAGTTGGGTGCCAACTAGCTGACAGCTAACAACAGCAGCAGTGGCAGGAAGAAACTCATACATAGTTGTCATTACATACTTCATTGTCTGTGTACACTTGCTGACCAGAATTTTGACCCCCTTTAACTCAAGAAATATTTTAAAGTTAGCTTTTAACTTTGTAACAAGATTATATGAACCTGTTTTAACACTTTAAGGTGTAACCTGGTTCCCCCTGCAAATTCTTTTGTAGGTAATGATTTTACATGACTTTCAAACTGGTCTCTAGTAGGTCTCGGTGGGAGGATGAACACAGAAGAGCTAGAGTTACTGGGTGACACCAAATACAGAAACTATGTAGCTGCTGTTGACAAAGCACTGAAGAACTTTGAATACTCCAGTGAATGGGCAGATTTAATATCAGCACTTGGAAAACTTAACAAGGTATGTATATTTTACCATTTCAAAAGAGAATTTGAAAAAAGCAAATATATATACTTGCTGAATATTTCAGTCTTGAAATTAAGAATTTCAAAGCATAATTAACATTCCGATTTGTTTTTTTTGTAGTGCTAGTTTACTTCACCAATTCCATGCCTATGTTGTCATTCACTGAAGCTTTAGAAGATTTAACTCAAATAAACAATAGTTCTTGAAAATACAGTTACTACCATAATTATTACTTATGAAACTACAAGAGAGCAAATATGCTACTCATTAGGGCTAATTGCCTTTCTGTAATTGAGTATTTGATATAGTCTAGAATTGTTGGCAATTGAAAAGGACATTGAAAGCAGTAACTACTGTGGGTTGGGATTTTTTGCTCCCAAATTCTACATAGCAGTTTATTTCTGATCAGGACTTAGTTCTCTGCAGTTTTTCTATATGCTTAGTTAGGCCTTGTAACTTGGTTTTAAGTAGTCTTCCCCCCCCCCCATTATTTATTTATTTTTCTACAGAGGTTTTGGATTTCCATTCATTCATTGGTGCAATTTTCTCCCTCCCCACGCCTCCCCACCAGCTCGCTTCCCCCTCC